TACTGATTTTGATATGCTTTATTTGTACCGAGGGTCCATCGAAAAGGGCCTATGTATATGGAGTTTATGAATAGAGAATGAAGTTATGGTCTATATGTATATGGAGTTATGAATAGAGAATGAAGTTATGGTCTATCTCTTTCTTTCTTGCCAAAAGAAGAATGAAGTTATGATCTGGTGATAGGCATCCACGTCGAGAAAAATATATGTTGTTCTTTACCAATAACTTATCAACATATACATTGTTCTTTACTAGTATGGGCTGAGATAGGCACACAGTTACTTGTATACCAGGATGTCTGTGTGACTCTTCCGCGCAATCTTACATTTGTATAATTTTTGGTGAAATGCAGGAATCAAGAGGAGCACCTGCTAAAAAGCCTCCACCAGATTACTTCCTGTAAGACGACACAAATGATTCAATTTTTGCCATCAATATACCCATATTGTCGACAATATGGTTGTGTAGAGCAGATGCAGGAGTTGCTCTCACACGATTCATTTTGGTAGAAAGGCTTCTTGGTTTACAGAAAGAATGGTACCGTTGTTGGGGTTTCTAAGATTACTGAGGATCTGAATGCATGTCACCCATTTTGAAATCCCATACATGTTATTTTTTCCTTGTAATGGTGGTGTGTGTAATAGAATGGTGGGACATTGAAGTGAAAGTTGCAATTATGAGGCAACTTCGCACCCTTTTTTGAGCATCTTGTTACATCTGGACTTTGGTAAATCAGTAAATGTTTCTTTGTCCCATGTTTGCATAGAAAACATGCACATTTTGTATGGTCATATTGTTGTGTTTGTATCAATCAAGAGATATTTCGTGGAACCTAGGAGACCATGAAATATCTAATTTGTCCCAAAATGAATGATGTTATGCTATTTTTAGAAAATGAAACAGAGGTAACAGATTGAATAGAAGTCGTACACATAGCCATTAATATACGAAAGAATTTTGTCGATAACTGTTCTAAAGTCGACAGAAAGCATGGAACACCTGATTAACCTTAACTTATGGTTATATAATGTAAAAAACAAACAGTTCTTAAAAGAGAATTGTTGCGGAGCTTAATTAGACCTTTATAGCTAAAGCGATTTAAAGTTTTCTGCAACTTAACCTATAATAATACGTAGGATTTCTCCTACTTAACCTATAATAATAGGTAGAATTGTGATGGAGTTGTAAGTGACCCGCACATCCATTAGTCTTTCAAGTAACAATCCAGTAGCAGTATTAAGTTCAAAATTTCTTATTACTATATTATAGAAGAGTCTAGGAATGACTACCAATGGTCCAATAAGATCACTATTAATGTCCAATATATTTATAAAATATATAAGTGGGCTCCATCACCTTTCCCTTAAATACTACATATTATATATTATTAATTACTATACTATAAATCACAACTAATATCCAATATATTTATCAAACTATATAAGTGGGCCCCACAACCTTCCACTTAAATACTACATATTATATATTAATTACTATACTATAAATGACTTAAAGACTCCATATTATCTATTAGAATAATTAATAATTATTTGACACTTAAAATTCTATCAATGCCATATAAATTAGGATAAAAAACCTAACATATAATATTTAAATATATTTAAAAATGATATAAATAATACTATACATTACAATAATTAACAACTTAATTATTTAAAACTTATAAAAAAAATGTAATTGACTCTCTAAATTCTATTGGTACCACATAAAATGGATTATATAATAAACATATATTGTTTGAAATTGACGAAAAAGAAACAATAAATTACAATAATTAATAAAAAAAATTGTCCACTCCAAAAAATCTATCAATTAACAACATATATTGTTTGAAATTGACGAAAAAGAAACTATAAATTACAATAATTAACAAAATAAATCTCTCGACTCCAACAAATCTATCAATTAATGCCACATAAATTGGGACATGACAAATAACATATATTATTACAAAATTAGGTTCAAAATGTACTAAAAAATACAATAATTAACAACTTAATATATTAAAGAGACATATAAAAAAGGGTTAATATTTGAAATTCTGCATCTGCCACATAAATTAGAACAAAGAGAGTAATAAATATTATTTTCAAAATTATGTTAAAAAAAAGTACTACAAATCACAATAGCTAACACTTTAAAATATTTTTTAAATCATATACAAATTTCAATAACTTCTCAATTTCCATAATATGACATAAATTTTTTTAAAAAGTGTTATAAATCATAATAAATAGTACAATATTTAAACTACTTTAAAAGCATTATAAATTGTAATAAATAATACAACAATTTAAATTACTGAAAATTTAACGACTTAAATTTTTTTTTAAAATGTATTAAAATTTTGGTTAATTGTCAAAACTTTACATGTGCCACATAAATTGGGACATGGAGAGTCACACATATTTTTTTTAAAAAATTACATTAAAAGTATTCTATCAATTAACAACATATATTGTTTGAAATTGACGAAAAAGAAACTATAAATTACAATAATTAACAAAATAAATCTCTCGACTCCAACAAATCTATCAATTAATGCCACATAAATTGGGACATGGCAAATAACATATATTATTAAAAATTAGATTCAAAATGTACTATAAAATACAATAATTAACAACTTAATATATTAAAGAGACATATAAAAAATGGTTAATATTTGAAATTCTGTCTGTGCCACATAAATTAGAACAAACAGAGTAATAAATATTATTTTCAAAATTATGTAAAAAAAAAAGTACTACAAATCACAATAGCTAAAAATTTAAAATATTTTTAAAATCATATAAAAAATTCAATAACTTCTCAAATTCCATAATATAACACTTAAATACTACATATTATATATTAATTACTATACTATAAATGACTTAAATATTCCATATTATCTATTACAATAATTAACAATTATTTGACATTTTAAATTCTATCAATGCCATATAAATTAGGATAAAAAACCTAACATATAATTTAAATATATTTAAAAATAATATAAGTAATACTATATATTACAATAATTAACAGCTTAATTATTTAAAACTTATATAAAAAATTTAATTGACTCTCTAAATTCTATTGGTACCACATAAAATGGATTATATGATAAACATATATTGTTTGAAATTGACGAAAAAGAAACAATAAATTACAATAATTAATAAAAAAAAATAGTCGACGAAATTGACGAAAAACAAATTATAAATTACAATAATTAACAAAATAAATCTCTCGACTCCAACAAATCTATCAATTAATGCCACATAAATTGGGAGATGGCAAATAACATATATTATTAAAAAATTAGGTTCAAAATGTACTATAAAATACAATAATTAACAACTTAATATATTAAAGAGACATATAAAAAAGGGTTAATATTTGAAATTCTGCATCTGTCACATAAATTAGAACAAATAGAGTAATACATATTATTTTCAAAATTATGTTAAAAAAAGTACTACAAAACACAATAGCTAACAATTTAAAATATTTTTTAAATCATATAAAAATTTCAATAACTTCTCAAATTCCATAATATGACATAAATTAAAAAAAAAGTGTTATAAATCATAATAAATAGTACAATATTTCAACTACTTTAAAAGTATTATAAATTGTAATAAATAATACAACAATTTAAATTACTTAAAATTTAACGACTTAAAAATATATTTTTAAATGTATTAAAATTTTGGTTAATTGTCAAAACTTTACATGTGCTACATAAATTGGGACATGGAGAGTCACACATATATTTTTAAAAAAATTACATTAAAAGTATTCTATCAATTAACAACATATTTTGTTTGAAATTGACGGAAAAAAACCCTATAAATTACAATAATTAACAAAATAAATCTCTCGACTCCAACAAATCTATCAATTAATGTCACATAAATTGGGACATGGCAAATAACATATATTATTAAAAAATTAGATTCAAAATGTACTATAAAATACAATAATTAACAACTTAATATATTAAAGAGACATATAAAAAATGGTTAATATTTGAAATTCTGCGTGTGCCACATAAATTAGAACAAACAGAGTAATAAATATTATTTTCAAAATTATGTAAAAAAAAAAGTACTACAAATCACAATAGCTAAAAATTTAAAATATTTTTAAAATCATATACAAATTTCAATAACTTTTCAAATTTCATAATATGACATAAATTAAAATAAAAAAATAATATATATTGGGCCCCGTGCTGGCACGGGGTCCTATATCTAGTATATATATAAAACTCCAGGATATTTAATGTTGATGAATTTAACACGTAAAAGTTTCATAAAAAAGCCAAAGAAGAAAAAGTACAATTTACAAATGTTTGGTTATATTGATAACAGCTAATTCTAAATCTGCCTATTGAGTTTAATCTTTACAAGTTATTACGTGACTTATCCACTAAAGAATATAGTACATTTATTAGCAACCTGCCAAGATAAATCATGTGCAAGAAGCAAAATTCTAATTTTTTTTTTATAATGGTGATGTTTAGGCCAGCTCTTTCATCACGAAATATTTACGCTAACAATTTTTTAACCTAAAAGGTCAATAACTTCAATCACTTCATTAACTATTGAGCTAACTCGTAGTTTAAAAAACACATTTATTATAAATACCAACCATCTCTATTGCTTTCAATATTCAAAACCCAAATGTAATTATCTATTGGTTGACAATCCAATCATTTCTTCAAATCAAAGCTCACTCTCTAATCTTCAACTCATTGATCTCAATTTCTTCAATAAAATCCAAAAAATTCTCAATCTACTGAGTCCAGAGGCGAGTGCACCAAGAAAAATGTATTAAGTGGGAATTGATCCTCAGTCCTCAAAGTCAAAAGCTCAACATTTAACCATGTGGACCAACTAGACTTTTTATAGTACGGGTACAAGAATATAATATTATACAAATGTTAGAAAATATATACATAAAATATCTAATTTTACGAGGAGACCACGGGTTCGGGTGCCCTATTTTTTGCACTTAAATTCGCCACTGACTGAGTCTGCCTTCAATAATTTCAATGGCAGGCTCAGTTTCCTTCTTCTTTTTTCTATCTTTACTCTTTATTTCAAGTATCCATGTTGAATCCAATGGAGAAGGGTACATATCATTGGATATATCAAATAAAGGTCTTGATTTTATGAAGGAATTTCTGGTAGAAATGGCGGAAACTTCATTAGTTCCACTTGACCTACCTAAAATTGAGAAATCAAAGCATATTCCTATTATTGGTACAGTTCATATGGTTCTTTCGAATATCAGTATTGATAATATTCATGTGATTTCTTCGACTGTGAAAGCTGGTGATACGGGAATTGTTATTAGTGTGTCTGGTGCTTATGCGAATATGACCATGAATTGGGAATATTCATATTCGAATTGGTTGTTTCCTATTCCTATTACAGATAATGGAAAAGCTTCTATTCAGGTAAAATCTCGATAATTGATGTGAAATTCTCGCTGTTATTAGCTTAAAATAGATTAAAAATGATGTCTTTATGGTCATATATGAACTTCGATTGCATTCGAGGGTGTGGCCCAGTGGTCAATGAAGTTTGTTGAGCACCTTGAGGTCTCAGATTCAAATCCCAACAGGTAGTCTTGGTGGACAGAGTTAGGTACTTATTTCTGGTGGGAGGTGATAGGTATCTCATGAAATTAGTCGAGCTGCACACAAGCTATGCTAGCTCAAACACCATGGTTATTAAAGTAAGATAAATATGAACATTGATTCTTTTTTCAACTTAAATATAATTGGATGAGAATTTAGCGAGCTGCTATTGTAAATGGAGTACAAGTTCGGTAACTTTAGAATTTAGTCAACTAAACAAGAGCTCTACTTAAGTACTTAATGTGCAACAAACACTAGGTGATATTTCTCCATATGCCCAAGCCTTGGTGGACAGATGAATTTAAGGTACTTGTGCTAAGGTAGCAGGTACCCCATGGAACTAGTCGAGGTGCGCAAGCTCAAAAAAAATGAACTTAAAGTATTTTGTGTTTGTGTGTGGCATAAATAAGTATCAGATTACTTTGGAGCTGCAAGAAAAAGAGACTTCTACAGAAGCCAAAACTTGAACCATATAGTTGCAATTCTATCTTGTTTGTATTAGGCAAATGAGGCCTGCTGTGCAAGCTTTTGTGACTGTAGAACAGTTAACTATATGAAGTCTCAATATCCACTTCACTTCATTGGGATCAATACTTTTCGAGTACTCAATAATTTGTATTTTTAAGACAAAGGATTCTTTAACACTGAAGGTTATCTATGATTTCTACTAACATACAAATCTTTGTTCAACTAAAAAGACTCCTTGGAAACACCAACCTTAACGTAAGGGTAGCAACACGACTAATCAATAATTTGGACTTGTTAGATATTGCCTATGTGAGTCTTTTGTGAAGCTTTAGGGATGTTCACTTCTTAAAATATCCTATACGCATGGGCAGGGGAACTAACTTACCGCCTGTTGTAATCTCAAAGACACCATGTCTAGATTTCCTTTGCATCTTTTCTCCTTATATCATCGTAGTTAAATCTGATAGTCTGTATATTTGTTCACATTTTTTGTTTGTCATTTATAGTTGTCTACTTTTTTCATTGTTCAATGCTTGTGAATGCTATAGATAATATATAAATGTTTCTTTTCCTAAAGGTTGAAGGTATGGATGTTGGAATTTCTTTCAATCTGACGAATGTCCAAGGATCTCTTATGCTATCTCCCCTGGACTGTGGATGTTCAGTGAAAGATATATTTATAAAGTTGGATGGTGGAGCATCCTGGCTATATCAAGGGTACTGTTTTTTTTCTATTTGAAGAACTATCTCTCAAGTCTCACACATCTCTCACCGCACACCCCCTCCCCCAAAGAAATGGTAGATACTTTGATGTCTGATGTGCCATGGGCAATGCATAAATAAACTGTTATTGAATCTCACTAACTGGAATTTGCATCAGTTCTTTTTTGCAAGCATGTGACAAAAACTTACTAAGATACTCACCTGATTAAAAAAAAAGTAAGATACCTCAAAATTTGTATTTTGTAAGGCATTAGGTTGCATTGGAACATTGCTTATTTGAGACTCTTATATCTATCTCTGAAAATGCCTGCCTTCTGGAAAGAATACTATTTTCTGAGTTATACACGTGTGGCATCTGAATATGCTTCCGAGAGGTAAAGTTTCTTCATATATCATATCCTCACCATCCTTTGTGACAGTTTTGATATTTTACATGAAAATATATCCCGTGCATTAAGTTTGCTTCCTCGATGGCTTTTACTAGCATCATTATGATATCCCTCTTTTATTTTCAGGTTAATTGACGCTTTTGAAGGTAGATTATCTTCTGCCGTAGAAAACGCTGTTTCAAAGAAGTTGAGAGAAGGAATTGTGAAGCTTGATTCTTTATTGCAGTCCCTACCAAAGGAAATTCCAATAAGAAATATTGCTGCTTTAAATGTCACCTTTGTTGGTGACCCACAATTTCGAGACTCGTCTCTTGTTCTTTCAATTAATGGGTTAATTTGTGCCAAGGAAGCATACACAGCACCTCCTTACCATCACTTATTTGCGTCTCTAGAACACTTATTAGCGTCAATTCCTTTGAAGGATCCGGCAAGCATGGTTACTATTTCCTTGAATGAAAAAGTTTTAGCGTCTGCATCATCTGTTTACTATGATGTAAGTACTTCAGCTATTCTTTCCAAGTGAATCAATGCATAACTAGAAGAATATTGATTATTTTTCTAGCAGCTATCCCTTGACCTTTAAATTAATACATGCATTGTTCCATGTCTGAATTTGATCATTTAACATGCCTTGTTCTAATATTTTCTATGAAAATTAGTTAACAGTTGTACTCAATGTTAAGTGCCCCTTTGGAGTATTATATGGCACGACTTGTATCTAATAGCTGCTATCTGTTCAGGCCAATAAAATGCACTGGATTGTTGACAAAGTACCCGAACAGTCCTTGTTAAACACAGCTGGATGGAGGTTCATTGTCCCACAACTTTACAGGCGATATCCAAATGCTGACATGAATCTGAATGTTTCCATTTATTCTCCACCCCATCTGATAATTAGAGAACATCAGATTGATCTAACGGTTCATGCAGATGTCGTTATCAATGTTTTGAATTCAGGTGAAGTGACACCAGTTGCATGCTTTTCAACGGTAAGCTTTGAAAAAGGATCAACTCTAGCATATTATTACCCATTTTCTTGCAGTCGTTAGCTTTTTGCCATTCATTATCACTCTCTCTGGAAATTGATATCACTCTGATGAAATCTCCTTTAAGCGTGGAAGAAGAAACTGAAAGGTTGAAACTAAAAGTAAACTGAGCTTTTTATGATTTAAGCTGGTTAATTAAGCAATGCATACTTAGCTTTATATTTATCACAGGGACATGTTTATATCAAAATTATATCCCAATTTATTGTGTCTCAACTCTTTATCAATTAAATTCATTAGGATCTATCTTTATTCTTTAAAACCCTTGGCATGAAAATCATCCAGCGTTTGATATTTTGTATTGGCTTGTATTGAGAACGCGCAATACATATCTGAAACTAAGTTTTCATCCCGTTTGGTGTCTTAATTATAAGTGGAACTTTGCATATTCAACAGAAGAAAACTTGTCATGGGACTGCTGTAAGAGGCAAAAAGTAAAAAGTTTGTGTTGCTACCTGTAAAGAGTTAGATTAGTCTTTCATCCATTCTTGGAGATGCTGAAAACATTTGCTGTGAACATTATTTAACATGTTTTATGAAGGCATTTAACCTCACTTGTCATCTTTTAAATCCTGGTTCTATCAAAGCCTTACACATGAATTTTCGCCCTCCCGATTGCAGGCAGTCAGTGGTTCAGCTTCTCCATGGATTTCCAACAATAATCTGGGAGGAAGTATTGGATTAGATGAACTCTCTTTATCTTTGAAATGGAGTAAAATTGGCAATTTGCATGTGAGTCTAGTCCGGGTATGTCTTCAGTTCACAGTGTTCTATTTTCCAGTTCGTTATGTTTTCAACTAAGAATGCAACCCTGCTGCACTTAAACTCTTAATTCCAGTTCGTTGCTGGTATCTTTTTGAGTCATGAAGTTCATTTAAAAGCGTTCTAATCTCATAGTGCTGAGATAGAAAAGCATTTAACAAATGGTCATCTACACTCATCGGCAGTGTATCATTGATGTTAATTACCACTATCTTGCTTGCTTACTGCTGTAACCCCTTGTCTCTTTATATGCACCTCAAACATCACAAGTAATACTATATGTGCTGCTTTAAACATTGCATCAATTGGACCTCTTTGTTATGGTTTTATTTATTCATCTCAAAGAACTGCTAGACTTTATAGCTGTGTGTCTGTGTAAATGGAATTAACGATTAGCTGCATTGGCTTTCTAACTGTAGCAACATTAGCATGATAAATATCATTTAGATATTGTTTTAGGATTTTTAATTCTGTGACAACAAAACACAGTTCCCTTCTTTAGCTGATTATTAAACTGACTGGAACCCTGAAAACTCTTGCAGGCACTGATTTCAACTGCACTGAGGACTGTGATCCTGCCATACATAAATATAAAACTTAGTAGAGGATATCTGCTGCCCACATTTCACGGCTACATGCTTCAAAATGCTAATATCCTGTGCAGTGACTCATGGATTAAGATTTCCAGTGACGTTGCGTCTGTCAATCAATTATTTATAAGTTAGTTCCTACATCATATGGTTGTGAGCTATGTTGCTTGGACCCTCTAAAATGCTGCTACAATCTTGTCGAACCCTCCAAAATTGCGTAGCTTTTGGAGATCCGATACACACCTAGCAGTTTGTTTGAAGGGTATGAACAACGTAAGTTGTGAGTTCCTCATTCCCACTGCACCAGACGTTTTACTGAAATGTAGCTTTTGGAGAATCCGATAGACAAAAATGTATACTAGGTGTAGAATGTGTTTCTTTCTTCTTTTTTATTCTTGTTGTAATTGCTATATGCATGTTGCTCATATAGCTATTGTAAATCCTTCTCTCTTGTTCTATTTATATAAATTCTCTTTATACCATGAACATATACATTCTTGTATAACAGTTTTTGACTTTATTTAATGGAAGAACATGAATATTCCAAAAATTATGTGGATGTTTTAAGTGGAAATTTGAGATTGACAGAGCCAATCATGGATGGTACATACTTCTCGACCTTGTTTCCGAGGAATAGTTAAACTAGCGACTAATGAATATTACAAGTTAGACGAGCCAATAACTCGAAGATGTGCTGTATGAATTTTGAATATGAATCACAACCTTGACTTATTTTCACCATGATACAGGCTTCTTATAGTAAAACACGAGGAGTTTCATTATCAATATGGTCATTTGAATGTAAGTCATTGCAAATCATCTCATATTTTTGTTAGCCTTTAATAAAGTTAAAACTTGAAATGAATAGACTCCACATATCAACCTAACTTGAGAAAAAAATATATCCAAATTTACCCTTCTACTTTGAGTTATATTTTAAAAGTAATGTCTCACTTTGGAATTTCAATAAATCTCTAGGGTAAAAATGAGATTTCCCACAACATATACAAGTAAAATAGGAGGATAATTGAATTCTCCTTCCATTTTAATTTGTTTGTCTAATTTTTTTATTTATTTTTCGTGGAACATTCTATATTCAATTTCTGCATTAGATTTAACTAATCTGGATTCGCACCGTGTAAGACCCAATTAAGGGGGGAATCTCCATGCCAAGGATTTTTTCATATCGAAGGTTTGAATCGAGACTAGTTAAAGAAGAAACAACGCTATCCATTGCGCCACATTTTGATGATTATTTGTCTAGTTTTGATTCGATACGAAAAAAGGGCATAGTTGTAAAAAGAAGTAAAATAATAGACCGAAGATTAGGGCGTATAAACAAACCGGTGCGTCTCATTAGTAATAGTAGTACCATAAAAAAAACCGGCTTCTCCTTTTGCCTTCTCTCTCTCTACAACTATGTGTTTCTCTCTCTAAAAAAAAAAACTTGCTCCGATTTTTTGATAGTTAAATTGCCGAATAATTCCGCTAACAGGGACTCAATTACCCGCCAATAAGGTATAATTTTTAACTCAAATTTTTCAAATTTTTCTCTCTCTGGGGTTAATTTCTCCTCTTTGTTCTCCAATGGCGTCTTACTTCTCTCTTTCTCGCAGTAGATTTCAATGGCTGAGATTGAACCAGATCGGGTATTGGAAGGATTGGGTAAGAGGAGGCTGGTAGCGGTGGATGATAGGAGGGTGACGAAGAAGGCAAGGGAGGTGGTGGATGGGAATGTGAAGGAAGTTGCTGAGATGGTGCTTGTATTATCTGCTATAGGGAAGATGAGGGGAGGTAGAGGTCCAACCGTTGCAGAGAAGGAGATGGTGGAGGAGGCTAGGGAGAGATTAGCTGAGATTTGTTTGAAGTTTGCGCCGAAGGATGTGTTTCCGAGTGATGGTTTTGGAAGTGTTATTGAGGATCTTGGGATTAATAAGCTGACGGAAGTGAGTGTAGGGCATTGGCAGCCTCCCAAAATGTCGATTACTGAGAAACTGCTGGCCGTGAAAAGAAAGGTATGGAAGCTTTATTTTTAGTTTGGGATACACTGTTTGTGTGAGGGTGGTTGTGTAATGGGAGATAGTCTAAAAGAATTAAATGTAGGAAGTATATGTGTAAGATGATTGCTTATTCTGTTGAATTTGTAGATTATTTAGTCTGTCTTGTTTTGGATTCATTCTATATTTTGTTAATATGAACTTTTCTGTTGAATTAGTAGATTATTTAGTCTATCTTGTTTTGGATTAATTCTATAGTTTGTAAATATGAACTTTTAGAGGGGGTGTTGAAATAATTAAGCTACCCAATTGTTTTGGGATTAGGACCTTGTTTGGAGCTTGTAGTCTTCTTTGCAACTATTAGTGTAGAATTACCATTCGGGGTAACTATTCCTCGTTTTTGCTTGTAAAAATAAAATAATATTGGAAGCTTGGGAGGTCTTCAACATTTGAGTTGAAGGATAATTGATAGATCAAGTGCATGCAGATTACAAAATTTGAACTTTTTACTTAATTTGTTGCTCTTTGTCTGTAAAGTTTAGCCAGCTAGGAGTTCATGGATTTGATTAAAAGCAAGTCCAATGCTTCTCAATATAACCAATTGTAGTCAAGTCAGGCTGTTGAGTTGCATCTTAAATGTCGAACTCAGTTCCCATTTTTATCTCTTTCCTTTCTGCTTTTAGATGGAAAAGGCGCAGGAATTTTCTCTACCCTCTGCCAGCTACCCATCTCAACGGTCTCAAATAGCAGTGGGTACAGCAACTGAAAGCCATAATGCATCACATATTAAAATGTTTCCTCAACCAAGTCATGCAGTAAATTCATCTGGCAGCTTACAACCTGCTTCACCTATGGAACGTGGGACTCCAATAAGTTCTGCATCTTTGCCTTATCAGCTGCCCACCAGTGAGGTCAGGCCTTTAATCACCAGTGGGGTGGTCTCTGGTAATCTTGTAAGGGATTCTTCTTCAGTAGCACCTCCCAGAGTTGGAAGACATCATTTCCAAATGGATGGACGGCAAAGTGGATCTTCCCATGCATTGCAAGTTCAAGGTAACCAATTTGTGTTCCTCTAAACTGTCCAAGGTGCTTCAGGATCTTTGTTTGTTAAGTGATTCCCACAATGAAGAACTTTACCAACTTGCCAGAATAAATAGGAGAACTTGTCTAAATGACGTTCAGGTTAGGTATGGAGCATAGCTTGTCTAGGTTGTACAATTTCTTCACTTAGCCCAGTACATCTTCTAGCTTCAAACAAGTAAGAAAGAACCTAGGTGATTATTAGGTCGAACATGCTTACTTATCAGCATGGTTATCATCTAGGTTCAGAGTTGACCATTGAGTGCCATTTTACAAGTAGCTTAAGTGATCTTTCATTCGACTCTAATTCATCTAGCTGTTCTCTTTTTCTTTTCAACAACACATAGCCGGACCTAGTTTGCTGCTCATCCATCAAGGAAGTTGGCTTTGCTAGAATTGTTTTCGCGAATGTTTTCCCTTTAAATTTTACTCTTTATTCATTTTTTCGTTCTGAACCATCTGAAGCTTATTGATTTGTAGCAACTACTGGCAATTACTCAACTGTCAGAACTCCAACTTGGTCGGTGCTACCTGCATCAGTTTCAGCAGCTCGACTTGGGGCAGATCACAAGGCGACACCACATGCAACTATTAAAATTGAGGGAGGTGCTGATGTCAGGTCAACAATGGCACCACAAGTGACAACATCTAGGCCATTTATTACTCAGAGCACATCTGGAAATTCACCAAGCACATACCCTCATTTACAAGGCACGAGCTTTATTCAGGCTCCTCCTCCGAGCAGTACGCATTCTGAAATTGGCAAGCTTGTTTACAAATTCTTACAGCCTCTGCTTCCTGAGCGGCCTGCATGGACTCTGCCATCCCGTGATTACATGAATAAGGCTTTGGCTTGTCAAATGTGCAATTCAACAATAAATGAGGTTGACAACGTACTTGTGTGTGATGCTTGTGAAAAAGGCTACCACTTAAAATGTCTCCAAACAACAAGTCAAAAAAGTGTACCTAGAGGGGAATGGCATTGTGGAAAGTGCTTGTCAATAACCAATGGCAAGCCGCTGCCCCCTAAATATGGTCGTGTGATGCGGAACATCAATTCCTCTAAAATGCCTACAATCGCAGCAATAGTTCAATCATCTCCAGATAGAAAAGCTTTTGGTCCGGATGAGAAGGTTCGTCAGTTGAAGATAATGAGGAATGGGAATGTCGCATTGCAGAATTCCACTACCAATGGCATGGCAAATAGTCTTAACCAACTACCATCTGCGCCAAAGATGCAAAATGACCAAAGAATGGGAGGAACTGATAATGTGTCCGGTGAAGGAAATGTGGAGAGTAGAGTTGCTTCTGCAGCCTGTTCCAGTAATTTGACTTTGGGAATCTGTTCAAATAATTTGGCAGTGTCTTCCAATGATAACAGTTTCTCTCCTGCTAGCTCAATGATATCTTTTGAACAGAAGGCGGTTGAAGTGAAATCTCAGCCTCCTGCAATACCTGAAACAGTTTCCATCTCATTTGATCACTCACAAGCGTTGAATCACTTGCAGGCCAATGGCCATGCACAGCTAGCGAATAGTGTAGAGATACCTTCCCAGCAGTTTCCTGGAAGTCTGTCCATGGTCAGTGATGCTAAGGAATCTAGTGCTAGAGCAGGTTTAGCTAATAGTTCAAGCGATGAATGTAAAAGAGAAAATCAAGGTGTCGGACGGACAAATCTTGTCGAAACTCCTATTGCCAGAAATGGGGATGCTGAATGTGTTAGCTCTACATCAGATCTCTTTCATAGTGTTGATTGGATTGGCGATGTGCTTCAAGTTGCAGATGAGAAGCACTATTACCAATCTTGTCGCCACAATGGGTTCATATACAATGTTCAGGAATATGCTGTTATCCGTTTTGAGGATGAGAGATTGATTCCTTCAAAGCTTCTGGTAAGAATTTGATTTCATTAGATTTTAACCAATAGCCATAAAGAAGTCATCTGATTCATAGTATTTTCTAGTCACTACTCTAGTGAATAGACCTAAATTGGTCTGACCCTTCCCCAAATCCCTACAATAATGGGAGCTTAATATTGTTCCTATCTTTACTTTCATTGGAGTTATTACTGCTCCGAATTGTATATGGACTAGGTTCACCAATGATGTTTTACCCGTGTCATTTGAAGCTTCTTGTGGAGCTTATAGCCTATTTGGCCAAGATTTTGGGAGGCCAAAAGTGCTTATTTAAAAAAAAGAGGTGTTTGGCCAAGCTTTTGGGAGAAAAAAAGTGTCTTATACAAACTGCTTCCCCCTTGGAAGTACTTTTTTGGCAAGCTTTTCAAAATAAGCTGATTTTAGAAGTTTTGGCTAAACAGCCTATTAGTCATTGATATTTGCATGTTCATTTTTTGAGTGAAAATTTTCTAGTTCTTGGCTCCAAGTTATCACTGGCACTTGAGCAGA